AAAATGCCTAATCTTAGTATATATAAAAACTTCTTTAATAAATCTGAAACCGAAAGAGCAGTAGTACAAAAAGAGCAGAACGAATTTATATGAGAACAAGATAAAATATTTGGACACGAGCGAAATCTATCTTATTACAATCATACACAACGTCTTACAACACTTCGACTACGCTCAACACAAGTTATTGAGTGATCAAACTCTAAATGAAGAGGAAAAAGTTCTACTAGAATTCTCAACTAACAATACAACACAAGTGAAGAATACAAAGAAAAATTACTTCCAAGAAAGCAATACTAAAGTTAAAATCAAACCTTCTTTAATAGAAGACGTAATTGCATATCCAACTGTGTTCTCTAAAGCAACTAATATTGAAATGGAATATGAAAGTAAGCTCAAGATAGTGCCAAAGAAAAATGAAGTTAAAGTAGAGCCAATCCCAATGGAAACTACTCTAGCAACACCATCTATTAAAACTAAGAGCACTGTTAACAACATAAAATTAAAATTACAGGACAACCCTTGTAAGAGAAATATGGCAGAACAAGAAGTACCAACACCTACCCCAAAAGACCACCAGGAACTAGTTAAAGATATACTAGTTAAAAAAGAATGTGGCATTTTTAATTACGGACTGGATGAACTCATAAAAGAGGAACTGCAAACAAATGCAAAATCATCTATGCAACTAAATCACAAGAGACCTAAACAATATGAAAATATATAAAACTCATCTTGGGCCCCAAAAAACAAGATCTCGTATCAAAAAGTTCCTGATTCACCTACCTTTCTCTTCACAATTTGAAACCTTCCAAAAGATTTGAAAGCATCAGTAATAAAGTCTTATCTGAACATCTTTGGTACAGCAACTGTTATAGCATGGCAACAGAATTTCAGAACGAAGGCAGCATGTATTAAAATGATGCCAAACTTAGAACAAAAAGAAAAATCTTTAAAAGAAGAGTAGTCAATTCACTTAGAACAAGGTAAAATGTACAGAACTACACTAGGCAAGTTCGATATCACTGAAATAGAAACAAAGAACTACAAAGACACTATTTCAAATATTCCAACATCAGTATACGACAGCCTTCTTTTACGGCAGCTTAAAAAGTATAGAGTTCAAGCAGTTCATATCCTCTACAACTGAAATGGAAATCAAAGGAAAAGAGCCCATCTATATTTCAAATCAGAGGATGCCTCTTATTAGCCCAAAGCTACATCTTATATTACTTCAATACCAGACTCAGATAGCACCTAGATACAGAAGACCCAAATAGAAGAAATCCCTTATATGGCATGTTTCAGTATAAAAAAGAAAATAATAACCAAAACAAAGGAAAAAGAGTAAGAAATGAAACAGAAACATATAGGGAAAAAAACCTACCCAGGGGCATGCTTATTAAACAGCTAGATGAGACTAGAAGACTTAATTCTATCTATAGCACAAACTCAGACAGTAGTAGAACCAATAGCATTCGCAGACCCCAAAGCAAAAACAGAAAACTACTTAGAAGCCTAGAAAACATAATAGCTACGGGTTCAAACAAGATAGAAATAAGCAAAAAAAGAGGAAAGCAAAAAGAATATAAAACTAGATTGCCCCAGGATGAAAATCGTAGCAAAAAGGCTAGACTACATAGTTTAGAATTCAATAAGCCAAGAGTTAATCCCATAGTTAAAAGTGAAATACAAAGCAGCATTTTGGAGCAAATCTTGAATAGATTACAAAAGATTGAAGAAAAACAGGGAACTCCAGTCCCCAACTTCTCCTAAGGGTGCCACAGTTGCATTAACAAATTCAGACAAGCAATACGGCTTGTTGGGGCGAATATCACTTAAGATAACTAACAACGCCTTTATAACTGATCCAGAATTAGATTTAGTGCTAGAAAATATAGAACAGGAAAAAAAAATAGAAGAAAGATTTAAACAAGTAAAAATAGGCTTCTATAATATTAATGGTCTTAAGGGAAATAGAACAAAATTGCAAGAGCTGATAGATTATAGCATTGAAGAAAAGTTAGATATAATAGGAATAATGGAAACAAACATAAATACAAAAGAAGCAGCCTTTCTTAAAGTTAACTAGCAACATTATAAAGCTTTCTGGACTAAAGATATTATAGAAAAAAGAAAAAGCTCCAGGGTAGAATTACTAGTAAAAAAAGAGTAGCAAACTCACCTTATCGAGATAATAGCAAAAGATATTTATTTATTAAAGTGGTATTTAGATTCAAAAAAATAATACTAGTTATATAGGTAGTTTATTTTCCACCAAGCGATAAAAGTACAAAGAAAAGAATATAGCAATACTTAATAGAAGATATCACCAAAAGCAAACTAAATACAAAAATAGTTATAGGAGGTGATTTCAATACAAAATTAGATGTTGGAGCAGGTACTACCCAGAACGTTAGAATGAGAGAAGTTTCACAAAAGAACAAACGTTGCAAACTCCTGCTTATAAGATGGCTACAAAAAGTAGGCTTTGAAGAAGCATATGTTCTTATTAATCTACAGATCTTCAAAGCAACATGGGCCAACTCCAAATCCTGCTCAAAAATAGACCATATATGGTTAGATACAGAATTAA